GCGAGCCACTCATGCTCGCCGTCCGCAGGCCCGCGCTTACCGTGGCCGGAGATCGTAAAACTTATGGGTAAGATTTAGCCCAACCCACCAATTGGAGTTAAGACCCCTTGTCCAACAGACAATCCCTGTCTATATGATTAGTGACATTGTTAATATAACAGCATATTATGATTGGCTCTATCTTCAGGGGGATTTTTAAATAGTAAATTCAATTTAAATATTAAACCAAAATATATTACTCGTCAGTTGTACTTACCTAATTCTCTTTCAAAATAGCTAAACACCCCAAAAACATTTAGAACTACAAGAAGTGAAAAGATAGGAAATTTAAGAAATAGAGGTCCATATTAATGTAGGAATGGTATCAATTGAGTACTTGCCAACTAGTCAAGTTCAATACTTTTTTCGAACTGTCAAAAACGACAGTTTTCTATGAATTTTGTACGAGATTGTGTATTGTGACGTCACGATTTTTTTGCGTCAAACAGCATTCTTATTTCTTATGAATTTGCTGGAAATATACTAAAATTAAGTTGGTCGTAAAATCAATTAATATAATTGTGATTATTTTTTAATGTTTTATTGAATTGAACAGTCGAAATAATTTATTATTGATTAAGGAAAGTACCCAATTGGCATTCCATAGTCTCTGTCCACCGCCATGGGAGACAGGCGTGTGTTTATGTATGTATAGATTACAATTAAAAGAAAAACAACATATCAAGATTGTTCCAAAATAAGTTTTTTATATCTTTAACCTTTGCCCACCATGTGATTATGTTAGAAAGCATCGAGACACGGTCAACACAACCCACTAAATTAAACTTCGACGTACGTTTTAAGAGATAAACCGGTATACGAGCAGAAGAATCACCTGATGGTAAGCAATCGGCGTCGTCCAAGGACAACCGACTTAATACTTAACTGCGGTGGTTGCGCAACCGGCTGTCGCACACCATGTAATGGGTTCAATTCCCGCACGGAGCAACTCTTTGTGTGATTCACAAATTGTTGTTCCGGGTCTGAGTGGCATGTGTGTGTGAACTTGTATGTTTGTAAACGCACCCACGACACAGAAGAAGATGCTAGTGTGGGACAAAAAAAAACTTAGGGGACTCCGGTGTAGAGGGCTCCGCACAAGTTCATTGTACGTATTTTTTTATATATATTTGTTGGGCCGACGTTAGACCACTATCTCGCCTGTTGATAAGCGATGATGCGGTCTACGATGGAACAGGTCTTCCCATAAGTAACCTATTCACTCAAGCCTTGAAGACACCCAGGTTATCAGGATATACCCTTCCGGAAATACACTCTGGCAAAGAATTCCACTCCTTAGCAGTACGCACAAGGAAGTTTGATAGTTTAATTGTTTAAACGCAACACACACATGGTAATAACTAAAGCCTCAGGTCTATTAAAGGACCAGATCCCTTACAGGTGCTTAGAGCCACCAGGGTGGTTTTAGTGAGGTATGACTCCCACACTCCCTAGTCTTTCTCCCCAAAAAGCTAGGCGTCTTTTGAAGGTTCCCCCCCATCATAAAAGAGGATAAGATAGCGAAAGAGGTACATATGTAAGAATCGTAGTAGTAGGTATAAGTGTGGGAAAGTCATGCTTCGGCACGAATGGGCCAGTTCGACCGAAGTGATACCACCGGCCTCGCACGAAAGAGCGCTTGTGTTGTGTTTCGTCGTGTGAGTGAGGTTACCGGAGGCCTAAGTAACCACTCCCCTCCTCTTCCCCATCGCCTCTAGTATTCCAGATGTCTATGAGCGACGCTGATTGTTTACCATCAGGTGATCCGTCTGCTCATTTACCGGCTTATGCCATAAAAAATTAGCGTTCCACAGTCTGTCTATCCCCATGAGAGGTCGCGGAGAACCTAGCGGGTAACCGGGGCTCCGGCTCGACGTGCAGGAGAAGGAACGGGGTGGTTTTTAGTCAGTAAGAGTCTGACACTCCCTCACCTCACCCAGGCGGAAGCAGTCATTCGATGACTTTCCCCCCTTAAAAATAAAAAAAAACCCCATGAGAGACAGGTGTGAGATCATCAGATCATGAATGTGCCTATGTAAGTACTTTGTGTCCAAAAAATATACAATAACGAACTAAATGCTCTGAACTAAAATAAAATAAAATATCACTATTATTCATTTTATTCACATGTTCAACTTATTCTAGACTTAACACAACCAATATAAAGAAAATAAAGAGAAGAACATAACACTATTTTACATTTCAAATCGGTTAACGAAATAAAAAGAAGTATGACGTCAGAGGCCTTAGTACGAGTTAGATTTACGTTTAAAGTATTCCAATCGAGTACGCGTTCGGCAATCTGATTGGCCGGCGCCAACGAACCAGCCAATCAGAGCGTCGAACGCGTACTTTACACCACGTTACAGTGATTGGTCAAAAAGAAAACCACGTTATAGCGCCATCTAACGGGTAAATAACGTAACCAGGCAGTACACATCCAAGTTATTTCGTGTGCAGGTAACAAAATAAATATCGATTCAGTACAGAGACAGTAGCCATTGGTAGAATACCGAGTTAACGAATGGTTACAAAAAATATGGCTTCATTACGAAGCTTACAATTTAATATAACAATAGTTACTGTCTCTGTACTGAATCCATCTTTATTTGCTTACCTGCATACTAAAACTTTGCTCGCCCTATGAAATAAGTACCTATACATATAAAATGACATTATAGCAGTTACAATAATGGAAGACCTATTATATAGATTTCTTGAAAAAGTGTCATATATCATGAGTAGATAACCACAGTACCTAAATGCAAAAATGTACGTACGAGTGCTTAGTACGAGTTTCTTTTTCGTATAAAGTGATCGAAACGAGACGGTGTTCGGTGCTCTGATTGGTTTGTTCATTGCAGCCGGCCAATCAGAACGCCGAACGCGGACCCGTTACGATTACTACTTTAAACGTAAAAGATACTCGTACTAAGGTTTCTGTTATGTCACTCGTATTGTTAAATTATGGCTAAGGACAAACAGCGCGGTCTTCTCCCGCACCCGCCGAACTGGCGGAATGGACGCGGAATTTTCTAAACTCACGAGACCGCATTTTACTGCGAACCCGCAGCCGCTGCGGTTGCGATTATCGCCCGCAAACTTGGCGGTTGATTATCGCTAGACGGGCGGGCGGTTAAACAATGAGTCGAGTTTCAGACCGGCCCTCCCGTTGCGATCGCCCGCCAACCGACCGCAGAGCGCGCGGTTGCTAGCTGCCCGCGTGCAGCGAGAGCCGCAAACAACCGAAACCGCCGCGGGCGTCAAACGTGCCGCGAAAATTGCTTTGATTATTTACATACATATCTGTATTCTACAAAGGCTGCGGGCCCGCAACTGCGGCGTGAGTCCTTAGGTAATATTTGAGACGTTTATGTTGAATAAAACCATAAATATAACATTTGGCGTGTCATTCCACATTCAAGACAATATCGACTATTTGCCAATTATGATAAAGTCCCATGTTATAAGGCTTTTTATTACCGAGATTTCTTTCTCGCCATACTTATTATCTAAACCTGGGAATCAAATCAAGTTTAGTTTGGCATGTGTAGAAAAAAAATATTCAAACATAGAATACCTTTTTTAATTTTAAAGGCAGTGTTAACAGATTAAAAAATAGAACCCTCATTTGAAAAAAATCGGGTAATAAAAAATAATAGTTTAAAAGTATAAATAGGTATATTCGAAATTACAAGAGATTTTTAAGAAATAGATCAATAGAGATTTAAAGAAGTTTCATAATAATACAATTATATTTTGAGCACATCAAAATTGTAAGTTCTAATGACTTTTACCGTAAGTAAAATGCATTTTGAAGTCAGACCACAAATATTTCCTTATTAGAGACAGAACTTTGTCACATTTTGTATGCAGTTTATGTCGAAATATCTCTAGGAAATTTATCCATAGATATAATAGTTAAAACTGATCTGAGGCCGAAGTCAATAACCGATTTTAATTCAGAATGTTTGGATCACGATTTTTAATGCGCCTGCCACACACTCGACGAGTGGTAGGTATGGGAAGTAAAGAGGAAAGGAGGCAGAGACATAGTGTGGCAACATTACTAGTCATGCCACACATCACGCTCCTCGTCCTGCCCACTGCCTATTTTGTCGGTTTTTGCGCGCGACTCAAAGAGACTGGCAATACGAGGAGGCAACGAGGATCGGCAATAGGAGCGTCGCAATTAATTGCGAGAGTAAAGCAGTGTGTAGGCAGAGAGGGCAACAGTGCACAATACTAGGTATAAGAATGTCTATCAAAAACCTAGATCCGATTTACACATTTAGAATTAAGATCGGCCATTCATTTCGACGTAACTAAACAATAACAAAACAGCAGTATTTTAGAAAGACAGAATCCTTTTTTAAATTATTCAATCAATTTAATGCCAATATACAAATACCCAGACACGTATATCAAAGACCACAGAATATACAGAAAAAAACTCAAATGTCAAAAGTGACGTTTTTAATAACCTTCTCCTAGATGGGAACTTAGTTTTGAAATGCAGCGCGATTTATTGCAATATTTAACTAATGGTAATTATAATATCCTTGAGATGGAAAGTCAGGTGTCGATTTGGAATCACGTCAATAGCTAAAGGGGCCACTGCTGACCAACCAAAGGCTTCTTCTCACACGGAGGTTTCCTCAATGCGGGTTGACAATTTCAAACTTATAATTAGAAATTATAAGTCCAAGTTTCCTCACGATGTTTTCCTTCACCGTTTGTCAGTGGTGTCTAGATAATCTCAGAAAGTACATATAACTTGGAAAAAGTCACATTGGTATTTGCCGTCGGTAGGTTTCGTCGCGCCCTCATGCATGAGAAGCGCCCGTCCTAAACCTCCGGCATTCGGATTTTAACCCAATGCACTTACGTACACACCTAGGACGCCCAAGGCTTTTTCCTAAGGTTTTTGACATTTTGTTTATTTGGCTTTCTATTGTACCTTTATATTATAACTATCGTGCCGCTATAGGCACGCTGGTAATGAAAAAGAGCCCCGTTATGACTTGAAACCAGTAGAGCTCTTCTAAGTGACGTTAGGTGAGAAATTTTCAATAAATTATTTGAGATTCATTCGTATTCGAAATAGAATCGCATTACATCTCAATACTAAGTTCCCGACTTCTACCATTTTACATACATTTACCATCTAGTTATATTAAAAACTGCATCAAAAAAATATTTCATATTCTTTTTTCATTGCATAAGTATTTTATAAAAATCTCATTCAGTACATTAATTTTTTTCCCGGAATGTTTGATCGTATAGATGGGAATTGATTGCAGATGCTTTAAATTGGGGTGGACCAACAACACTGAACAAAAACAAAATTGAACTAGCCCTCAGTGAAGTTCATGAGTCCCATGGACTGTACCATGAACTTCAGACTACGATTTCTATAATATCTGAATTGTGTAATAATTACTATGTTGGACTCGTAAATTGAAACCTAAGTTTGACTTGAACCCTTGTCTTTTAAGGCAGTGAAGGGCCAGCTTTAATTTTTGATCACGACAGCTACGCCTTATATAAGTAAACGACTTTAAACTGTCAAACACCAAGCGGTCACCGGTGACCGCAACCTATTGTTCTATAATTGTGTCTATAATGACGGTACTCGACGAGTTAAGGAGACATCTTAAGGGTCCTGCATAGATAAAAAATACATTTCGCAAACTTAAGCGTAGACAAAGTTAATTAAATGTATTGTTTATCTTCTAATTTCCTTCTTTTCAAGCAAATGCTATCAAATCCCACTATACAAGACTCTAAAATTTACTGTCCTTGTTTCTGCTGACTCTTCTGCTGCGCCCTTACGAATTCTGGATAATCTATATAACCATCCCTATTGTGATCATCCATATTTAAAATAGGATCAATTAAATTCACTAATTCATCGTCACCGAAGATTTTTTCGCCAACCGGCGGCGTTCCTGCCTGAGGCGCCTGTTTGTGCCCTTGCTCTTGAGTTTAAAAAGTTGAAACGTCAAAGTGACAGATGACAGTTTCATTATAAGATGACATGCATTTTTTTTATTTTTGGATAGTGGTGTTTTGAGGTTTTTTAGTTTTTTTTTATTCAGTATGTATTATATATGTGTAATACGGTGGTTGTTTCAAATTGTTGTTGATGTTGTGACAATGGCGTTACAATCCCAAGCGGCAGCGACGGCACACATAGAAAAGGAGACAAACACACACATGAGTACGTAATTACAAACACATATACTTACTTCATTTACATTTCAATAATAATTGCCATTTTTTGTAAAAAAAAATCAGAATGAAGATGAAGATAAATTATACACCAAAAAACATTCGTTGCTAAATTAGGGGATAAACCCAAGACCCCAGAACTGCGCGATCGAGAGACTTAACTTTAATATGAATGCACTGAGGCAAAACTTCAATGAAAAAATGGCAAATATTAAAATAAACGAAAAATATTTTCCATCGGATTTAAAAAAATCTTTCTCTACTGAACACATGTTTGCATTTTGACATTAAATTATATCGTATGGAAAATAATTTTCTAAAATTCCTTAAAACTAACCAAATAACCAAAACTCGTTCGTATCAAAGAGTTTTTATCACCTTTAGCAATTATTAAGTACCCAATATAAAGAGATAAATACCCCCAAACTATATAAAAACATAAAAAATAATATTTTTTGTTGAAATTATCCTCTGTAGGTATTTCAATTAAAATATATGTGTTTAACAATTTCTTTTAAATATCCTTCTACGCCCTTAAAAGTGTACAATAATGTATTAGTACAATAATTGTTTGCATAACCCACTTATGCAAAAAACAAATAATCAAACAATAACGAATGCTGATTATAAAAAATCTCTTTAGTTAGCTATTCCCAACGAGAATTTCTAAGTTCCCAACAAGAGTTCTTAAGTTCCCAACGAGAATTCCAAATTTCCCAAGTTCCCAACAAGAATTCTTAAGTTCCCAACGAGAATTCCAAATTTCCCAGCGAGAATTCCTAAATGAGAATGACTGGAATTGTAACCTAACTGATATTAAATAATCATAATACTGCGACATTATCTTATTAGATTTTGTAATAATAGATGTCGCTAGTATCCCACTTGTGGCAACCGGCACACTGCGACTCGAGCAGTTTTGATATTTGTTATTTCTATCGAGTTTAAAAAGAGGTGGTACTGTGCTCGGATGATAGTTTATTCATGGGATATAGTCCGTCCGTCAGTTCCAGCTCAAAGCAGTCACCGCGTCGAAACTCTTTATTACCAAGCAGTACAAATAAATAAATAAATTATTTCGTATGTCTTTACCATTCACGGGACTACAGGGTCCCGGTCATTTGGGAGGCGTACGAGGGGCCGAAGCCAACTGCGCAGCGGCCCTTTAGACAACTTTAATCTAAATGTAATGGACACACAAACCGGCGACTATCCCTATTTTCACTATGGAAATGCACCAAAGGACAGTCCCCGGTTAGTGTAGAACTATTGTGGATAATAGAAGAAAGAAAGTTAGGGCTATGGATGGGTTGCTGTAGACTGGTAAATTGGGAACTATGGCACCTGTATTATTCTTCATAGTATATCACTTACCGTGCCAATGGATAAGAGATTTGATGAGTTCACATCCATCTAATTTGTTGTTGTTATCAGCGTCATGCATCTTGAAGTAGTGGAACTGTAACTCCTGTTCCGACATCTTTGATGTGTCTATTGGGACCTCCATATGCTCTTGGATGTGACTGGAATGTTAAACCATTATAATTATTTTCTATGGAAAAAATTTACATACCATATTTTTGTTAATAGTAGTGACTGCTCGTTTGCCGTGTAGTAAGGGGTCTCGGGTTCGATTTCCAGGTCAGGCAAAGTATTACCAGTGTGGAACTTAATATTGAATCACGTTTGTACGACACTACTGGATGCAGAAAGCATGGCTCATAGAAATTTCTATTCTCAGAAAGCACGTTTCGCCGAAACCTTCATTGGTAGAAAATATTGTTCGTAGATAACTCGTTCCATAGAAAGCACTAGCCATAGAAATCTCTATTCCTAGACAGCTCGTTTTGCCGTAAAACTTTGTTGGTAGAAAATACTATTCATAGATATTTCGTTCCATAGAAAGCACTTCCGCTTTCACGCCGTAACTACTCAACCGATTGCTTTGAATTTTTGCAGACGCAAAGTTAGAAGTCCGGATTAAATAATAGGGTACTTTTTATCCCGGAAAAAATTGATATTCTCGAGTAAAAACAATAATATTGGTATAGATGGCGCTGTGTGTATTGGTATATGTCACATAGGCGACTTGTTATCTTTTTGTGACGCGGGCGAAGCCGCGGGTAATAGCTAGTTTGTAATATTTTGAAATGACTTACTCTCTCTCCTGGGCAATGTTAGCCGGGTTCAGGAGTTGAGGATCTGAAAACAAACACAGAAAACCAAGTTTATTAACACAGTAAGGTTGTAAAAAACATATTTTTAAAGAGTAACTATGTAGTTCCTTGTTCGTTCTTCTCCATTCAAAAGTACACTTTGAATGGAGCACCACTGACAGACAGACCAAAGGACATCTTACCTTACATCTTACGGACATCTTATAGTGTCTGTCTGTCGTGTCCGATCTGTCTTGTGGGTCGGTCGTGTCTGTCGTGTTAGTCTTGTCTGTCGTGTCGGTCGTGTCTGTCGTGCCGATCGTGTCTGTGATGTCGGTCGTGTCTGTCGTGTCGGTCGTGTCAATAGCGCCGGTCGTGTCTGTCGTGTCGGTCGTGCCGATCGTGTCTATCGTGTCGGTCGTTTCGGTCGCGTCCATCGTGTCGGCGGAGGACCTAACGGGTTGCCGGAACTCCGGCTCAAACAGCAGGAGTAGAAACAGAGTGGTTTTTTAGTCAGTAAAAGTCTGACACGCCCTCTCGCTTCGCCCAAAGCGGGAGAAGTCATCGGATTATTTTCTCTCCTCAAAAAAAGAAGTTTTCAGTAGTTGTTTACAACTATTATTACATAAAAGAAACATTTAATTCATTACTTTTTTGAAAATAAATCTCGTGTTTTACCATCATCTGTCTACGATTTCGGGAGCGTTTCTGTTTACAGACTGTATTCTGTATAATCATAAAAAATGTCTAATTACCTCCATGATGAGCATGGCCGTGTTGCTGTTGTTGCTGTGGCGGTTGTTGGAACTGTTGCTGTTGTTGTTGCTGTTGCTGATATTGTTGTTGTTGTTGCTGCGGGGGAGGGGGTGGGGGCTGGTATTGTTGCTGTTGCTGTTGCTGTGGGGGAGGGGGAGGTTGTTGGTACTGTTGCTGCTGTTGATATTGTTGCTGGAAATAATTAAGTATATTTTTCAATCTATGTAAATAGAAATGAAATTCCGTTCGTTAGCCTAAAGCCAGCTATAACTCGAGAACGGCTGAACTGATGGGGCTATTGTTGATGCTGAAATGTTCGTGGATATCCAGGGAAGGTTTAAAACGTTAGAAAAAATAATTGCGGGTTGAAATTTGCCGGGTCATCTAGTATTAAATATTAATTCTCCATAGACACTCGGTCCGTGCGCTTGTCATATTTTTTTTTTATAAGTCTAATCAATATGAACTAATTTATAAAGTACCTATGTTACATACTACAATTAACCACGCCTTAACTACAAGAATAATCTCAAACATAAAGACTACAAATATAAAGAGCTGTATTAATATCTGCCACGGCTTTAATGGGAGGTAGTGTTGTGTTTGAAGATTATTTATCTACCTACCTACCTACCTACTTTTTGAAGACTTAAAAATAAAAATTCGGCAAAATGATTCAAAAATCGTTTTTCCGAATTTGAGTGTAATGTGTCTGTTTTTAATATAATTTAAGTTTAAGTATATTTAAGTGTGAGAGAGCCATGCTTTGGCACGAATGTGCCGGCTCGACCGGAGTGATACCACAGCCGAGCAGAAAATCGACAGAAAATGAAACATTGTTTCATTTGTGTTGTTAATCCTCAAATTCCTAATCCCCAAAAGACCGGTAACGCACTGTAATGCCTCTTGTGTTTCGAGTGTTGCTTACCATCAGGTGATTCCATGGGCGACGCCGATTGCTTACCATCAGGTGATCCGTCTGTTCTTTTACAGGCTTATGCCATAAAAAAATATGCAAATGTTTGAAAAAGAATTAAATGCTATACGAAGACAAGACCTTAGAGGATCATAAGCATTTAGAGGATCATAAGCATTTAGAGGATCATAAGCATTTAGAGGATCATAAGCATTTAGAGGAACATAAGCATTTAGAGGTTCATAAGCATTTAGAGGATCCTTAGCATTTAGAGGTTCATAAGCATTTAGAGGATCATAAACATTTAGAGGATCATAAATATTTAGAGGATCATAAACATTTAGAGGATCATAAGCATTAAGAGGATCATAAGCATTTAGAGGATCATAAGCATTTAGAGAATCATAAGCATACCTGTTGCGGTGGAGGTGGAGGTGGAGGCTGTTGATAATTCTGTAAAAAAAAGAAAAAAAAACATTAAGTAAGTATATAAAACTTATAGCCATAAAAAAACACAAAATAATATTTACCTAATGAAACATTAATTTATTTTATAACTTATACATGTATTTATTTATGGGACTGCCGAGCAAGGGGTCTTGGGTTCGATTCCCGGGTCGGGCAAAGAATTAGATACTGGTTTTTATTTTTAATTCTCAGGAGTTTGGAATTGTGTCCGGTCTGGTGTATGGCAATAGGCTCACCCCCTATTACATGGGACTCATAACATACATAGTACAGTGGCATTAAGTGCCGTTATGTGGACCTAGCCATTCGGGGACAAAAAGCGTGATGACGAGTATGAATATGATTTATTTATCACTAAGTGTATATAGGTATCAATAATTACTTTACTAAATAGGTAATTAAGTAATATAGTCGCTCATTATATTCACAGTTTATTGCACTATTAAATTAATAATGACATTTTAACCATGTATTGAACCTAAATTTGTAATTAGGTGCATTGGACAATTTTCTAACAGTACTAGCAAAAACTGGGTGCCATCTTACTAATATATAAGGTGTTAATAAAGTAACTCTAGGAAATCTAAGGTTTTGTTGTAACATTTATTCCATAATTAATCACGAAAAAATAATTTAACAAAAAGCTACCGTTCTAAAGTTATTCCACTATTTGTGTTACACGTAAACAGCCTAATATGCGCGCCGTACGGCGTACTAGGCCGTCGATGAAGCCCCGAGCGACCGCGCTGACGCAGGTGTCGTGGTACCGCGCGCTTATGTTACTACTGAACTTAATAATGTTTCATTTTAATAAACGACCACACGACTCTGTTTAGATTATGTTATTTAACTGAATTGATATGCTTATAATTAAAATAGCATAGCTACAATGATTAATTATGTCAATTTTTTGAATAAGTAAATACTAATAATAACTCAACCAAAAACCAATACTTCGGTAGTTAGTAGTACTAGGTGGTAGGTTGGTAGTTACTTAGATATTTATCATTTACAAGTATTCATCGGAATAAATGCCCGTCTCTAGATACCTAAGTATTAACAAAGAGTCTACGTTATTTACAGAAGATGCTGGAACTTGGAAGTGTCTTCCACTTTGTTCGATGCACAAGTTTGAAGTTTGTACGACGCGACGTATTACGTTGTTTGTGTGTGTGTGTGTCTCTGTCACTTTTAATAATATCAAACGCGTTTATTATGCTTATTTTTAATTCGTCCGCGTTTCTAATCTCACTACCACTGACGAGCTGCAGATACATTTTCGCCACTTCTAATGTACCACATTAACATGTCTAAGTACTTGCGGTTACTATGCGTAAACTGCATTATTGAATATTGAACAACAAACAATAAAAAATGGCGCGTGCGATTGATCGGACACAACACTGAACGACACTGAACTGAGGGCCACACCGTTCCCGCGCGACAGCTATCGGTCAACTGGCGATCGAGAGAGAGAGAAGTGGGAAAGAGAGCGGGGCAACTAGCGAACGGGAGAGAGGGAGAAAGAGAGAGAGAGATTGCGATAACATGGGGACGGTGACGGCGCGCCATTGCTTCGCTCGGGCCGCAAGCGCAGCCCCACGTACGGTTTGCACAAAAACGTTTAACCAACTCCTTTATTTTTGTTAAAAATAAAAGTTGTTAAAATTGTTAATTTTTTTTTTGCTAAACGTGTCAGTTTATTGATTCCCACCAACCTCATAAAATATTTAGAGCGAATTTATTAACACCTTATATTAAGTGTGGGAGAGCCATGCTTGGATACGAACGGGCCGACTCGACCGGAGTGATACCACGGCCTCACATAAAACCGACGTGAAGCAACGCTTGCGTTATGTTTCGTCGTGTGAGTGAGGTTACCGGAGGCCAAATTACCCTCCCCTTCCCCAATTTCTCCAATTTCTGAATCCCCAACGATCCTCAAACTCCTAATCCCCAAAAGGCCGGTAACGCACTTGTAACGCCTCTGGTGTTCCAGGTGTTCATGGGCGACGCCGATTGCTTACCATCAGGTGATCCGTCTGCTCGTTTACCGGCTTATGCCATAATATATATATATTTATGGGGTAAAATCATCGAATGTCTTCTCCCGCCTGGGAGAGGCGGGAGTGAGTGTCAGACTAAAAACCACCCCGTTCCTTCTCCTGCACTTCGAGTCGGAGCCCCGGTAACCCGTTAGGTTTTCCGCGACACCGAATAACATATAGGCTACTTTTTGTTGCACGGGAACGCGGGCGAAGCCGTCGGCAGAAGCTAGTAGGTCATACGTTCTCTACCCATCGAGGAAAAGCGTTACGTTACAATACCCTAGTTAGTTATGATACCCTAGGCATTTGTTTATATTAACTACCAAAGCAATGACATCATAGCACATCTAAAAATAAACTTTATATCTCAGTAGATACTTGTAACGTTGGGCTTTATATTGCAATTTGCAGCCTCTATGTCAGGGTATGAGATAGAAATGAGGTTTGAATGCGCGAAAACTATAGTGAAAACGTTTATTAACCGAACAGGTCCATAAAACTACACAAACTGGGGTTAACTTAAATTAGTTAGTGTAACCTGGTGTGCCTCGCGGAATAGAAAGAAGAATGAAAGAAAAATCGTTTATTTGCACACCGTCACAAGGTACAATAACACAAAAAAAAAATACAGTGAAGACGACGCAAAAGGCCAGAGCTCAGCTTAAATGCCGTGACACCAGTGTGCTCGAGTCACGGCGCTGATTTTCAGCACTTGCCCGTGACTTGTAATATTATACATATAATAGTCCTATACTAACTGGGGACTGTCCTTGGGTGTATTTCCATAGTATACACCCAAGTCGCCAGTTTGTGTCTCCATTACATTTAGATTAAAGTTGTCTAAAGGGCCTCTGCGCAGTTGGCTTCGGCCCCTCGTACGCCTCCCAAGTGACCGGGACCCTGTGGTTCCGTTAATGGTAAAGACATACAATAATAATAGAATAACAATAAAAAAATATATATATACAAATTAAAATAACAAATGTGATGGAAAAAGAAATTATTATTATTTGTATAATAAATAAATCTCGCGAACTAAACGCATGCTTGACACTGACATTTACATCGCGGCTATGCGCTCTCGCGGCTAGTTGTCCACTGTTGTTGGCGGGGTCTGCTTTCACTCCGTTAAGGGTGCGTCCGAACAAAGACAATAAAGGACACTTCCGCCACATCTGGGCCACAGCTGGGCGGTGGTATGTCTCGCCGCCGTGAGGCATGAGCCCAAACCTAACTATAAACCCTCGTGTTACATACTTATAATACTGCCTCGTTGGTCGAATTGTCGCAAGTGCGACAGCCGGGCAAGGGGTCTCGGGTTTGATTCCCGGGTCGGACAAAATGTTACTGGGTATTTAAAACAAAACTTTGTAGTAGCACGGAGTCTAGAATTGTGCCCGGTATATGGCAATAAACTCACCCCCTATTACATGGGACTCGTAACATAAATAGGAAAAAGTGGGTGTTACATTGTACAGTGGCAATAAGTGCCGTAATGTACACCTCGATGTTAAAGGCCTGATGTTATGTATATACCTACTTAGAACACTGATTACAATAAAATAATTATTATTGTTGATCCAGCACTTTGTAAGGAATTTGTTAAGTAGCTTTGTGATGTAGATTGTGTATTGCTATTTCGTCACGTACCTACTTTCTGAAGGAATTTTATGTATTCGGCCATTAATCACGCGACGCTCAATAAGGGGGAAGGGGTTCAACAAAAAATCACGAAACATCGTGAAGGGGGAAAGGGATTGTAGTTAAATATCACGAGTTTTTTTATTTTTTTTAAGGGAGGGAAATCATTGAATGCCTTCTCCCGCCTGGGTGAGGCGGGAGCGAATGTCTGACTCTTACTGACTAAAAACCACCCCGTACCTACTCCTGCACTTCGAGCCGCAGCCCCGGTAACCCGTTAGATTCTCCGCGGCTCCGTATCGGCATCAGCCCTACTGGGACCCATCCGTGGTGGTCTGATGGCTCTTTGAGGCGCGCGTGGAACGCGACGCGGCGTACACTCAGGATTTCCGATATTTAGAGACTACTTTTATATGAACAAAATTGAGTGGAGTTTAAGTTTAGACATTATGTAGTCGCGGAGAACCTAACGGGTAACCGGGGCTCCGGCTCGACGTGCAGGAGAAGGAACGGGGTGGTTTTTAGTCAGTAAGAGTCTGACACTCCCTCCCGCCTTACCCAGGCGGGAGCAGTAATTCGATGATTTTCCCCCCTTAAAAAAAAAAAAAAAAAAAAAGACATTATGTAGGTAACTATCTGGTGCAATTTTAAAATCCAATGTGGCATAACTTAAGAGAAGTGAGTGAACTATACTTGTAGATGACTAACTCATGTTAAAGTATAATATAAATTAGTTACAACTGATAAAAGACATGAAATGTTTGCATAAACACTATTAATATCCGTGACATAAGACGCATGTTAAAGATTTTGTATTATTTTTAAGTCGGCCCACCGCATGGACGTTTAAACTGTCAAACACCAAGCGGTCACCGGTGACCGCAACCAATTGTTCTATAATTGTGTCTATAATGACGGTACTCGACGAGTTAAGACACCTGACTGTAAATGGTTGTGGTAGCACTGCTGTCGTGCTGACCCATTGGGGCCAAGCATGGGTCTATCACATAACATAACATCACGCCTTTTATCCCCGAAGGGTTAGGCAGAGGTACACATTACGGCACTCAATGCCACTATACAATGTAACACCCACCTTTCACTATGAGTCCCATGTAATAGGGGGTGAGCCTATTGCCATATACCGGACACATTTACAGACTCCGTGCTACTACTGAGTTTTTACAAACCTATTAATACTTTGCACGACCTGGGAATCGAACTCGAGACCCATTGCCTAGCAGTAGCACTTGCGACCAATCAGCCAGTTAGGCAATCTATCACATTTTATTCTAGACTCCAATTTATTTATTTCTATGCCAATTTTTATTCAAACTTATCCAACCATTGAAAAGACTGACTGGCATTCTATGGTCTTTATAGTAGTACAGTCTCAACGGGCCTGAGGTAATGTATAACATAACATAACATCACGCCGTTTATACCCGAAGGGCTCATATTCTTCGCATTTCGTAGCGGTAGCAGCGCGACAGTCGCCGCGTCGCGGGTCGCGAAATGCTGCTCATGAATATGACCCTCTAGTATGGCTTGAAACTAATCGAGTTCCTCGTCAAATAATTACGTGAGTAAGCCGAAAACATAATAATTTATTTAGTACGTCTCACGAAAATTTAATATACATTAATAACATTAGTAGAATTTCAATTTTGATAAGATTTATATAAATAAGTTCATATAAATGTCAACCTCATAAATATGTAACAGCTTGAATCGTTTTAATTTATACATAATAAAAATGATATGCAGGTAGCCTTGTGACAGAAACCAATTAACCTACCTCCTGTTACTTGGATATTCATTCATAGCAGTAGTTAAAAACCTGAATGTGTTACCAGTGCTCCAGCTGGAAGCAGGAGTAGGAACGGGGTGGTTTTTAGTCATTGAGAGTCTGAAACTCTCTCTCACTTCACCCAAAGTGGGAACCTTAGCCTGAGAAAAGTTGAATTTAAATGTGGGAGAGCCATGCTTCCGCACAAATGGGATGGCTCGACCGAAGTGACACCATAGCCAAGCAGACATTGACGTGAAATGACACTTGCATTGTGTTTTGTCATTTAAACTGTCAAACACCAAGCAACCTATTGTTCTATAATTGTGTCTACAAAACCGGTACTCGATGAGTTAAACTGTTAAACACCGAGCGGTCACCAGTGACCGCTCGGTGTTCAACCTATTGTTCTTTAATTTTGTCTATAATGACGGTACTCAACGAGTTAAGTAAGGTTACCAGAGGGCCAATTACCCCCTTCCCTAATCTCCAATAATTCTTAAATTCCTAATCCCCAAAAGGCTGGTAACACACTTGTGTTTTGGGTATCCGTGGGCAGTGCTTACTATCAAGTGGTCCATCAGCACATTTACCGACTTATTCCATAAATTAAAAAAAGAAAATTTCCCATGAAAGGTAGCTTCAACCCTCTCAGCTATATTTATGCAAGATTTTTTGACGAAACAAACTCATTTTCAAAATTCTATCATTAAGTAATTGGTATTTTTTTTTTATTTTATCTATACCATAAATAATATCTATGCTAATATTATAAAGAGGAAAGATTTGTACCTATTTTTGTATGTTTGTAATGAATAGGCTCAAAAAGTATTGGGCCGATTTAAAAAATTCTTTCACCAATAGAATGCTACATTCTTCCAATTTGACATAGGCTACATTTCATTTTGAAAAAAATTAGGGATCCTTGGTAAAATTTGAACAATGTAACCGAAGGTGTAGAAAAATGAGTCTTATAATGTCTTTCGTCGATTACGCTGCCCAAACTATTAGCGATAGAACAAAATAATGTACAACAATATTAAATCATAATGTCTACAAAAAACTCCGCAGTAGCATAGGTCCATCTATTGTAGTTATGTCACTACAACCATTCAAATTTCCAAAAATAAATAATGGACAGCCCGTCCATTATTTATAGATAGATGTAAATAAAATAATTTCAATAAAAAAAATATTGAATTTCTTATTAAACTTTTCTTTTTAGTTAAGATTCATAGATGACAAATCCATCCACAGAATTATTACTAAATGAATAATTAAGGTAACTAGATATTATGGTAGTGTTTTCTTCTACATAAAGGTCTTTGAGGTAATAATGTGTTAAATAAGGCTAAAAAAGTACACAAGAAATCTCCAAACAATAGGCCTAGAGCTTATATGACTACATAACCACAACCACAGTACAATCAGTAACCACTTTCACTTTTTTCAAATTATGAGGCAAAACAACTACAGCCATTCTGACTATGTGAAAATAGATTCAGACACGAAAATATGAATAAAACTAACCTGATAATTCTGTGGAGGCACTCCGGGAGCTACTTTTTGCTGATATTGTTGAGATATAGTGCACTGCAAGAATGCAGCCAAAAATAATAGCCTCAACATTGTAGAATCTGAAAAACAAACACGAACTTTCAACACACGTGAACAAAAACTAATCAAACAACTTTTTTAAAATTAACATTTACCGCGATAGGCAAAGGCAAGTGGTAATAAAGGCAAATTTTATTTTTTTTTCCTTAAAAAGAATCGGCGAAAATGGATTGTGTGGAATATTAATTTTTACCTGTTAATGTACAGTTGTGACGTGGACTATGGGCGATAATATCCTTATCGAATCGATGTATTGATAATATTTTAATATATTCACCGTATGTCGATGTGTATAGCAGACGTTTTCAAAAAGATACCTGGCTGGGATTACCTACACGTCACGTCATTATTCACGATATGACAATGACGTTCCTGACGTTAGCGACCAGTTTCACGCAGCTTGATTTAGTACTACGTGTTGATTCCACAAATAATATTAGTGACTAATTAAAAATAAGATTATGTACTCCAATAATGTTTATTTAACATGTGTTATTATTTATTACAATGTTGTCTTTAAAAAATGTGAAACTTCTAAATTTGGAACCAAGGCTTTTAAGTTTAATAAATTAGCACCATGAACTACGAGGCTTATTGGGATCCAACATCCAAAGATTATCCGCACGCCTCTAGCGGCGAAATTTAGAAGTTGTCTAAGAACGACACTTTGCTTTCCATTTGAAGTTATTAAGTTTAAACTTAATCAAATGGATCACGATTACATACAGAAAACCTGTTTTTAATAAAAGCAGAAACATAATATTTTTGCGTTCCTCAACTTGAACTTTTAGAAACATTAGTGACTTATGTTAGTGAATTGGCCTTAAATGCTCTACCAACAAGAAAATGTTATCTGTGAGAGACAGAGTTATTTTGACAATGGTAAAAATTAAACAAAATAAATGACATAGAGTCATGGGTGTGTTGTTTGGTATAAATAGGCAGAGATGTTCTAATTATTTTAATAATATGTGCCCCATGCTGAGTAGAGTACTCAAAGTTGTTATTCCTTGGCCTGATACCGAAATTATACGTACAATTGTAATAACTTACCTAAATCATTCCAAAAATATAAAATTACAAGAATATTATTAGACTGTGCTGAGACTGTGATTGAAAAATGTAAATGTTTAAAATGCGGAATATTGACACTGTCAATATAAAAAAAAAACAATACAGTAAAGTTTAATATTGGAATAACTCCTTCTGGCCGAATAACTGAAATTGTGCATCTCATGGTGGTCGAGCATCAGATAAACATATTGTACTTAAATGAATCAGAAATTTAAATAAGTAAATGCGAGTTTAATGATGGAGTGATGGTGGATAAAGGATATAGGATTGAATTCGAGTGTAACGAAGTGAGTTAAGGATATTAATTGAATAATTATTACAACATTTGGTTAATTTTGCAATTTACTTAAATATTGATCTACAAGAAACCACATAAATCTGATTTATATTTAATAAATAAATTTTTCTGTGACGTAAATTATATACGAAAACTGTCAGTGTCGTTCTTAGACAGCTTCACAATTTTGACACCAGAGGCGCTAGTGAGAATCTTTGCATCGCCAATGGCTTATTCTATACACAATAAATTAATGTACCTAATAATATAATCCTCACCGCTTTAATAAGCTTATTATAAAATAAATACACATATTCTGACACCAATATTTTATTACATTTCAACATATCAATACAAGTTTGTAGTTTAAAGCATTGAATGGACAGAAGAATACTTCAATAAAAAGTATAACAAGACATAAAATATAGACTTATTATTGTCCTAACACAACCTCGTAATATAAAAAAAAAACAATTAAAAAGAATAGGATTTAACAACAACAGTTGTTGACTAAAAGAGCCATTGAAGAGCTTATAAGTATTGTAAATTTTATAGAATCTTTCTATCTAAATACTTTATGCACATCGATGATTAAATAATCACTACATTCTATAAATCAATAATATGAAATCAGCAGAAACTTTCTAAGTAGGTACCTACACATCTACCTAAATTATTTGAACAATGTATTTCGTATAGGTACGTGATACATATTTTATTTTTCATATAATTATGTAATACATAATTAATAATGTCCACAAATAATTTAATGAAAGTGTTCCTATATCGTAGGTACATAATATGTCTACACTCTTCAGGAAAACTCCAATTTTCGTAATTTTCCAGACTTACACTAAACAGCAACTTTATTGTACACCACAAAACACCTTTATGAGCAAGTGTTTGTCACAGTAACTACTTAAACTGGACAAAAGTAAAAGTCGCTCTAAATCTGACAAGATTCTATATTTTTTAAACATCTTATGCCTATGTTAAATATAGTAATCGAATACATAATGGACACCGCGAAGGTTCTTACAACACTAAGCGATCACTAACAAACAACCTTTATATAGTCTTAGGTACAAAGCCTTGATATGTAGCGATACGAAAAAATATATCTTATGAGAGCATCGTAGTTTGATTAACTATGAACAAAATGTATCATTGAGCTCCATATTTTATTAACCCCATTGATAGACTAGTTATTAAAAGTAACCAATAAACGGTAAGATATCGTTTCATGCTACGTATTCGTTGACCTTTTTTTTGAGGGAGAAAACCAATCAGTGACTTCTCCCTTCAGATGAGACAAGAGGGAGTGTCGAAGTCTTACTACTTAATTAAAAACAATCCCGTCCCTAGTTCTGCTTTGATCCGGAGCTCCGGCAACCCATTAAGTTGTCCGCAACTTCAGATATTTGATTTGATGGCCTCGCAAGTTGAAGAGAGTATAGTAGAGAATATGCCTTCAACAGTTTTATCAATCGGCAGTCAAATACCAACTTATACGTGTCGCTCAACAGGCACAGGAACATCAGAATTTTCAGTCAAAATTTGAAATTCTAAAAATTTATATCTAACTACGTCATCCACACTAAATTCTGTGTTGATTCTTTGATTGATAAGTATGCATTGGCTGATCTGACGGCTCTCAGTATAGGCGTCAGCTAAACATATATAAGTACGGAGCATCAGTTTTCGTATACGATCAAATTGATCGTAATCACAGATGATAGCTAAGTTCAAAAAGGCTTCAGCGATCTTTAGTTTAGCAATCGTAGTTTCGTAAAAATGATTGAAATAAGCATGCGTGGCTTCGTTGTGTAATCTGTACACTTCTTTTTCTATTATTTTTATATTCTCATCTTCTTTTGCCGCATCTGTGAAGCGAAAGTTTTACATTAAGCGCGGTTTTGGGACACTAGGTTCTCAAGTCACGGTTTTATTTTCATATTTTTCTTTTCCAAATTCTCAGTGATTGTGTTGCATCTCACAAAGTGATGCAGTCATATTATCACGCCTGTCTCTTACTGCAGAAGACAAAGGCACCAAATTACAAAACTTTTGGCATATCTTATTCGCTTCATATACTCATTCATCACTCTCTTCAAACACATTCATCGACTGAAGGTCATTCCTAAAGAAATCCTTACCTATTTTATTGTTAATAACAATCATTTTCTCGGAAGCCTCTTTGTTTCTGAATGGTGCTGGTCCTATATCACCAGGAATAAAATAAGTATTAAATTCTGACTGTGCGCCCGCACAATCTACTGCTGTAGAAGTTGATGCGGCCATAGTATTTGCGTTTGAGGTGGATGGAGCGTTGAGATCATCCTCAGTTCCCTCCATGATGTCTGAAGTGACATTATTGTCGCCTGGAATCAAAGAATAAAATATTGTTGTAACAACGTGGTTTGAAAGTTGGGGTTTGTATTGTCTTGGAAGAGATACACCGAGGCTAGTCTTACAATTGTGGTCTGCAATCCCTTAATATTATGATTCTTTTACTGTGAACTCAATGACTTCCTCCGTCTAGAGTGAGATGAGAGGGCGTCTCAGAATCTTACTGGCTTAAAACCAGCTCATTTCTATTCCTAATGCGAGCCGAAGCCCCGGTAACCTGTTAGGCCAAAAGCTTCAGATACCGTTGCCAACTTTAGACACATTTTCACAAATGGCTGTGTTGATCTCAAGATTTGGCAAAGCCAAGCATTACTGTCGTTCCCCATAATGGGACCAAACTAAGATAAACATTGTACGAAAACTGTTAGTCAAAACTTACCTGATATTACATAAAATGAGTGTTGAAAAGCTAATATGCAATGTTCTTTCTTTAATTCAGGAAGTAAATCTGGCAGTGATGCTGATCGCTCTAGTATTTCAACTATCTCATTAACATCATCTGGTACTGTAGAAACTGGGTAGCAATCGGATGGTGCTTGCGACGGATGGAGAGGAGGGGCGATGATGCTCATCGGTAGCTTACCCAATGGTACTGTAACGAGAGAAATATTGCTTACAAATTCAAAGTTGAACCTTAATTTCCAGTACACCACAATTATCGGACTATTTTTCTAATGGTTTAATGCACATAAGCATAAGCTGTAAGTACTGGGAGACCTTGCTCTAAGACAATGACGAAACAATCAAATCAGGAGAATCTTATTTCTCATTATGATTAGGTATAAGTAGTTATGGTAGTAGTACCTCGCGCATCTAGAGCTCTATCAGGGTTGTAAATGGAATACTTCTACTTCCTTGGCTGAATGGCATAATGGATTTATCATCAGCAATGACTTATAACACTTTTTAAATTATTATGTTTTTGATGTTATCTCGTTGGCCGAGTGGTCGCAAGTGCGACTGCCGGCCGGACAAGGGGTCGGGCCAAGTATTACATTTTTTTTAAATTCTCAATAGTAGCACAGAGTCTGGAATTGTGCCGGATATATGGCAATAGTTTCAACCCCTATTACATGAAACTCATAACATAGTGAAAATTGGGTGTTACATTGTACAGTGGCATTAAGTGCCGTAATATGCACTTCTGTCTACCCCTACGAGAATAAAAGTCGTGAAGTTATGTGTTATGTATGTTTTGATGTTAAAGCCTTTTCAGTACAGTTTAATTAAAAGTTAACACGAGCGCTCAGCCCGATTCATTGCTTGTCCACTTGACTCAACTTCCCGCACACCTAAGTACTGTTCTACACTTAGCTCCAGGAGCCATCGACCTACTAAATCCAACAAAAGCCGAAATAACAAACGTTTGTTGCCAGGCAACTGATCAAACAAGTGGTATCTTAGACGCATGACCATTACGCAGCCTACTGCTGGTATAAAAGGCGTGAAATTTGGCGCATTATCCTTAGTATACCCGAAACGGCACTGAAAACGGCCATCCTGTGGCGTCTTGTTCAAATCGGCTTAAATACGAAAATAAGTGAAAATTTATGATTAGAATGTCCACATCTGAACTATTAAAACAGCTCACAAGTGTTTTAGTGGCGTTAAAATATCAAACAGGTGCAGTGACCTAGCATTACAATGCGCATGCGTGAACCTATTGGATCAATATCTCCGAATTCAAACAGCGGTAATTATTAAAAAAATATTAATTATACAAATCTTTAGTCTATTATCTAGAAAAAAATAATTAAAAAAAAAATTATGTCAATTTACGCGGCAAAACGATTTTTTGCAAAACAATCTCTCGCTTCGTGTAACTCAAAATCAAGGTTTTTATTATTATTTTAATGTGTAACAAATAAAACTTACTTGGTTCTTCTTCCATTGACCTTTTACAGCTCCAATAAAGCTGAGAATCGGACATATTTGCAGCGATTACACAATTTTTGATATTTAAATTTGTAATAAATTACCTAGGTACTGCAATCTTGCACCTCGCAGATGGAGCGGGCAATATGTCAAAATACGAATAGGAAACTGAAGGACATAATAGGGCGTAGAAAGACCTAAACGTTATAGATATCGAATAATACATAGGTACGATAAATTTTTAAGATATAAGTACCTAGGTACATTTTTATTTTACATTTTTAAAATGATATAATGAGTTTCAACAAATATGGCTAACAAAATGTACAACATTACTACTACCTAATGATCTTTTCAATTTTAGATTTCGTATCAATAATAATATTTAGGATTTAAAATAAACTTAAATACTTTTGGAACATATACCTAATATGCACGTTTTTTTCACGTTTCAAGAGCACGATTTTATGCTACGATTTTTTCTCTGGAGATCCTAAGATACCTAAACGTAGCTACCTAATTAATAATAAGTAATTATTGTTATTTATCACCACTAATTTACATTACCTACTCTCGCTTTTAGATTATTTTTATTCATTTCATCATTTCATTTCATATTTATTTCTGTGTCAAATAGGTATATACTTTCATTATTTCCAAGGAGGCTGGAAAGTAATATGAGCTATTTTTTTTTTCACAAACCGCAGGTAGGAGCTTGAACTCTTCATTGGACTATAATAATTATTATGGGATTTTGACATAACAGGAAAACTAGCTTCTCTAACAAGTCCAGTAAAGTAATTATGTACATTACGTTTTAGTAATTGCGTCTTCAATGCGAAATCTTTACAAACAACGTGTAGAACCTACGTTATTCAAGTATCAATCCAGAAATGCTCCGGAAACTAAACCAACAAGACAATTAATGATCGAAAAATGCCTATCAATTCACCTCAAATACAATAAAAATTCGCAATTCGGATTGATGCGACGTCATAATTAAGCCTAAAACAATTATTCTGCATTAGTTATTCATAACTAAACGTTTATGAATGAATGAAACCTAAAAATTTTAGGAGTAGGGGCTTAATACCTCGCAGTACAATCATTAAGTAAGATATAATCAAGACTAGGTACAATAGTAAGGGCCACCATGCGTCTCTTCTACATTAATAATGTAGTAAAATATTACCATTCATGAACATTTTGTGCGCAGAAATGACGTCATCGAGTCATGCGACATTTCAAATCAATATGACTGTGGGTTCTCGTTTCCCTGCGTTACTTTTTTGCATATTGCTCGTATAATATGTGACGTCGCTTTCGAATAGATCGAATAGGACTGAAAATAAAATTTTGTGGATAGTTGTTTTTTTTTATCTAGGTATATTCACAGATTATTATCTCAACATTATCTACATCTCACTGTGACCCAGATCTGGAAAAACAATTTCTAAATCATACGAGAATCGAACGCGCAACACGTTGCACGGCAGTCCAGCCGCTACGCAAACCCTGTGGTCAAATAAATAAAAACTTACACAAAAATTCAATCGATTGGATGAATAACCGTCTATTAACAGGCAATTTGTCTTTACCGCGTCGTAGCGTATGTCGAGACGCAAATGCGACTTTCGATGGTTAAAAAAAATTAGACTGTTAATAGACTGAATGATTATAAATCATACAGCCTCTTCAATCGGAAACAAAATATCGTGATATCGGTATGAAATCGACATCACTATTCTCATACCACTAGGAATACCGGGATACAGCGCCCCACCCCACAAGTATTGATTTATTGTACTGTAGCTACCGAGGTAATTATATTTATTTGTGTTTCAAGCAAAATACAGGTACACTAAAACCAATATAAGTTGACCCTCGAATGTGCAAAAATATCACACAGAGCGAGACCATTATAAACTGGTGCTTTACAAAAATATAGGTAGGTGTCGGTAACTGGAATATTTTATTGTAATCTTGTAATGGAACAATTAACTAGAGTAAAAAATAATATTCATATAAAGTGGGTATGAATACATTTTTCAGGAACTACATTATTTTATGATATTACACTTACAGAACAAGTTTTCGTTTCAAGTGGTTTCAAGGACGTTGAAAAATTAATGTCCTTGGGTGGTACCCATACAAATCTATACTAATATTATAAAGAGGAAAGATTTGTACCTATTTTTGTTTGTAATGAATAGGCTCAAAAAGTACTAGGCCGATTTAAAAAATTCTTTCACCAATAGAATTCTACATATTCTTTCAATTTGACATAGGCTACATTTCATTTTGAAAAAAATTAGGGATCCTTGGTAAAATTTCAATGTAACTGAAGGTGTAGAAATATGAGTCTTAAAATGTCTTTCGTCGAATGCGCTGCCGAAACTATTAGCGATAGAACAAAATAATGTACAACAATATTGAACAACATCATAATGTCTACAAAAAAACTCTGCGGTAGCATATGACCAACTATTGTAGTTATGTCACTACAACAATCCAAATTTCCAAAAATAAATAATTGTCTACCCTGTGCGAAGCCGGGACGGACTGCTAGTATACGATAATTATAATAATTACATTCCATTCTTACGATAAAATGAAAAAAACGCCGAAGACTTTCAAAAACGGGTAATTAAGATAATCATATCATGTACTTGCAAACGGCAAGAAGTAGTTATTCTTTCTCTTATTTTTCCTCCAAAATATCTTGTAAAACTTTCTCAGAATTTTGGAGGGTGTGGTCACTCCACCAGTTCTTCTTAAAAGACCAGAAGTCACTTATCGAATTTAAAAAATAAGCAATACTAGTGAGGTTACTCAAGATTTCAATCGATAATTTCGATAAAACATACAAATAATACAATATTGTTTAATTACATTTAAAAATTAAACCTTTCTGCACTTCATTTAATACCATAAAATCAATTCGAAACACCTGAAAAATACGTTAAAATTACATTACAATTTAAAATATTACAATAATAAATTACATTTGAATATCGAGCTGGTTCGTTAAGACCGTATCCTCTCAACACTAGATGCAGTTGGCTGTCAAAGTCAAAGAAATGACATTTTGTAATTTGTATCGATCTGTCGGAAGTCGGACTTGAATTGGAGAGTTCTTGTACCTGCTAAGTTCAAAGTGAAAGAAGTTTTGAAACTATTTTCCAGCGTTTTGAAGATGGAAGACTCATCAGACCAAGCAAATTGGGCAGAAACTCCAAAATTTCTCAATGTGCCCCTAGCTAAAGGAATAAACAAGAGGTAATTTGTTATTTCTTATAAGAACCTGCTTTGCCGGCGCGCGTGTTTCATATTTTTGTGTGCTTTGCAGTTTTTAGTTCATGATACTTAGTTTGTAATTGATCAAGTTCAATTCATCGTTTTTTTTCCATACATGTCCAATTCTTACCTTTTATATAATAATCCGTTGATCTCGTGCGAAAGTGCCTTTGTACAAATTATTTTTTTACAATTAAATAAATAAATTGTAGTGTCCATTAATGCGATATTTTACAAACACAAAGTTAACATAAAGTCACATTTTGCCTTATAAGAAAAAAGTGCACACACATAATATTTCACCTTTGCAAATCTGCCTACCCCTTTAGACAATAAAAATGAAGGTGTTATTATATTTGTAGCTTACCTGCACCTGCTATATATTTTTCTTCATATTCAAGTGCCACTATTCAAAAGGTACAAATAGACTGACACAACTTGAGACACATCATCGTTTACCACCAGGCGAGGTATTGGTGTAACGTCAGCCCATTAAATATAACAAAAGTCAGACTTTAAACTGTCAAACACCGCGCGGTCACCAGTGACCGCAACCTATTGTTCTTTAATTGTGTCTATAATGACGGTACTCAACGAGTTAATGTCCGTGCTGTTCGCACTTACACAAACCATGATATACTAGCTGATGTAACACTAATTATCGTCTCACAATAAATTTTCCAATTACCAACACTGGTATTCATACAGAACCATTAAATTTATTCACTGAGTGTACAGTGTCGTAGTCTATTCGTGCTTTAAACTGTCAAACACCACGAGGATACCAGTGACCGCAACCTACTGTTCTTTAATTGTGTCTATAATGACGGTACTCAATTAAAATTACTTAGGTCATTTAGAACATGTTTACCACCCTCTCAATGGCTGGTCACAGTTTCACAACATCTAGAAACCCTAAAACGAATTTGCTTTATGTATATCAAGATAGAAACATTACCGAGTTTAACTCTCTCATTGCATGGTTCATTGGAGCTGGTCAATCAGAGCACCGAAAGTCAAAACATATTAATCATGTTAAATATAAAAGAGACTCTGACTAGGGCTTAGTACGAGTCTAAGTTCAAACTGGAACTAACTGCTCAATCCCCAAGCGGTCACCGATGATCGCTCTCCACTAACTCCATTATAGACCTTGTCGCGGAGAACCTAACGAATAACCGGGGCTCCGACTCGACGTGCAGGAGAAGGAACGGGGTGGTTTTTAGTCAGTAAGAGTCTGACACTCCCTCCTGCCTCACCCAGGCGGGAGCAGTCATTAGATGATTTTCCCCCCCTTCAAAAAAAAAATTATAGACCTTATGTCTGATGTTTAGAGATTACTTTTGTATGAACAAATTTTGGATATACCCATAATATTACATTTTACTTTTTTTGCTGCCTCGTTGACCAAGTGTTTGCAAGTGTGACTGCCGGGCAAGGAGTCTCGGGTTCGATTCCCGGGTCGGGCAAAGTATTACTGGGTTTTTTATAAATTCTCAGTAGTAGCACGGAGTCTGGAATTGTGCCCGGTATATGGTAATAGACTCACCCCCTATTACATGGGACTCATAACATAAAAAGTGAAAAGTGGGCGATACATTGTACAGTGGCTTAATATATATATACCTCTGCCTACCCCTTTGGGGACAAAAGGCGTGATATTATGTTATGTTGTGTTTACCTTTTTTGATTATTGCCTGATTGAAAGTGTATCTGTGTACTCCCCATGCAAGTTACATGGTACACAGCTTTCTGTAGTAGTTTTCGTCTTATCAGCCTGTTTCTGTCGTCTGCTGCTTATCCTCTATGATAACTCTTTTCCACTCAGTGGCGTAGCGTATCTTGGCGGTGCTCCGCATAAAAAATTGTTTAGAATATAATTTCAGAAGAAATTATCTTCTGAGAATATAATTCTCTGCCCAAATTATCGGACAATGATTACTTTAGTTTTTCCAAAGTTTCCAATTCCAAACCAACACATTTTTGCCATGGAATAGATTTCTCTATTCCATGGCAGAAACTTTCATGTCTCTATTCCATGGTTTCTGCCAACGTTTGAACGCATGAATTTTGTGATTACTGAAATGAAATATAAATTAACTTGTCGAGTACCGGTTTTGTAGACACAATTATAGAACAATAGGTTGTAGTCACCGGTGACCGCTTGGTGTTTGAAGAAGTTTTATATTTTTGCTTACACACGTTGGGAGCCCTCGTATACCGGGGGCCCCATTAAATTGATACTGCAGATACAGCGCTAGCTACGCCCCTGTCTCCACTCCATATTCAACTCTTCATATTCAACCACTGCCACTGGCGTTTTACCTTATACAATATTTTCTGATACGAATATTTTATTAATTGGTAACATATGTCGTACAAAAGGCAACTTGGTTATCTTTAAAATAAGAGCTTTTTGTTGTAAAAGAAAATAATATTTTTTAAACTTATTTGTTGTTTGATAAAATGAAAAAAAAGCTGGTGGTGGTTCTTTACTTCTAATGGCAGGTTTTCTTATTGATTGATGCCAAACATCAGGATGAATACTAGTTCATGTTTGTGCCTGAAAAATAAGTTGATGATAAAGACAGTGTATGAAAATTAAAAAAAAACTATTTAGTCTATTACATAGATAATGAAAAAATTAAACATTTATTAGTTTATTTTGTCCAGTAAACAAGAGGCATTTAGATAAAACGAAACAAAGTTTAGAAGTGGGAGCTAACTACGTCATTCCTAAGTAGTACATAGAAGTGACGTCACGCGATATTTCAAATCAGAACATTGTACTTTCTCTATTGACGTCGATGCGGACAAATTTTTTGATGCTCTCTTTGTAAATAGTATTTTTACTTTTCTTTTATTAAATTTTTGCCTTTTAGTTATAGTGAAAACATACCTAAATCTTGTTTGCAGGGAGCTCTTAGAGACTGGCCACACGGAGTTCACTATAGACTTTGACTATGACAAGAGAAAGTCATTGTTTGACTCACCCGAAGACGAGGACATGTTCATGGTTTATGATGATGAGGACGAGTAAGTGTTGTTTAATAATCCTTACTTCCTTACTAATATTATAAATTGGAAAGTGAGTTTGTTTGTTTGTTTGTTTGTTTGTTCCGCTTTCACGCCGTAACTACTGAACCGATTGCTTTGAATTTTTGCAGACGTAAAGTTGGAAGTCTGGATTAAATAATAGGGTACTTTTTATCCCGGAAAAATTTGATATTCCCGAGGGAACACAAAAGTATTAGTATAGATGGCGCTGTGTGTATTGGTATATGTCACATAGGCTACTTTTTATCCTTATGTGACGCGAGCTAGAAAAGCTATATTATATTTATGTCGCAGTTCATCATTTTTTAATTTAAAGCTTTTGCCTTTGGGTCCAGTTGGATCATTGTTTATTCATGGAATGTGGACCGAAGTTGGTGATAATATTATTAATATGTTTTTTTTCTTTTTATCCCGTAAACAAGCAGACTATTTACCTGATGGTAAGCAATCGGCATCGCCCATGAACACCAGGAACAACAGAGGTGTTACAAGTGCTTTACCGGCCTAATTTAAGGATTGTTGGAGATTCAGACATTGGGGTGATCGGAAAAATGAGAAATTTTTAAATCTCAGTAGTAGCACAGACTCTGGAATTGTGTCCGGTATATGGCAATAGGCTCACCCCCTATTACATGGGGACTCATAACATAAATAGTGGAAAGTCGGTGTTACATTGTACAGTGGCATAATGTGCACCGCTGCCTACCCCTTCGGGGATAAAAGGTGTGATGTTATGTGATAAAAAACAGTATTATTTGTTATAGTACCTATGATTGTTTGTATTGCAATTATTATCTATAACTTGTAGCGATTAATCATTATGATTTTAAATTAATAACAATTTAAATCATTATTGCTTCTTTTAAAAAACACTTATTATTTGTTATAGCATGATTGTGCGCATAACCAATTAACTATAAGTTTTAACGACGAATCATTATAGTTTAATAAAAATTATATTTTTTTCAATTACGGAGTATTTTATTCAATTTATCTATTTATTCCGACTTTCTAGATATATTAGAATGTTTAGACTAGGCCATACCAGTTAATCCTAGAGTGTGCGTATTTATATTAGGATTAACTAGTTTGTCCTAGCCTAAACTGGTTTGTCCTATCGGGCTTAGGACAAATTAGTTTGAACTAGGCTATACTAGTTAATCCTAACGCGTATAGGAAGAACTAGTTTAGCCTAGGCAAAACTAGTTTGTCCTGAAATCGGGTTTGGCCGGTAACATATATAATACATGCATATTGCACCTGTGCAAAGCCGAGGCGGGTCGTTAGTATTAAAAAAAATTATACAATTATTCCAGCGATGATGGCGATGTTTTGAATAGTGTAGACAAACAAGCCGAGACCATGCTCCTGGCCTCGCCAGAGTATCAATCATTTGAGCAGTTAGCTGCGAAGATGAAGGACTGTCTATCTAACGGGAGTGTAAAGATACTGATTCTTGAAGAAGGTATGTTTTATCTTATTATGTTATATTACTGCCTCGTTGGCCGAGTAGTCGCAAGTGCGACTACCGGGCAACGGGTCTCGGGTTCGATTCCCGGGTCGGGCAAAGTATTATCTACTGGGTTTTTTAAAAAAAGCAGCAAGTAGCACGGAGTCTAGAATGGTGCCCGATGTATAGCAATAGGCTCACCCGCTATTAGTACATGAAATAGTGAAATATGGGTGTTACATTGTACAGTGGCATAATGTGCTCTGCCTACCCCCTCGGGGATGAAAGGCGTGATGTTATGTTATTTTAATCGACTTCAAGACAAAGGGAGGTTCTCAACTTGACCTTGTATGTATGTTTTAATGGAATAAGCCGGTAAACGAGCAGACGGATCACCTGATGGTAAGCAATCGGCGCGCGGCGTCGCCCATGGACACCTGGAACGCCAGCTGCATTACAAGTGCGTTACCGGCCTTTTGGGGATTAGGAGTTTGAGGATTGTTGGAGGGGGGGGGGGGGTAATTGGGCCTCTGGTACCCTACTTACATGTCTCTCTTCGCTGTATATTTGTGGCATGTTTATTTGTGTGCAATTATCTTACAATAGGCGTGTCGACAGGGTAAAAAAATCAAAAAAGTAATTAGTCCGTCATTAAGATCGCACGAAAATATCAGACACGTATTTTTTGTTTTATCAAATTAACAGAAGAATACGTAGTTATTCCGCATTAAAGTTAGGGAGTGGGGGGTGTTGACGTCACACTTACGGAGAAATCGTACCTAATTGTGACGTCACGCGTCACTTTAACTCAAAATATCTACATGTTTTTTTGGATACGAGAAAAAAGAAAAAATACGTATCGAAGATTTTTAAAATATCTAAAAGACGGACAAAAAATTAAAAAATAGTCGCCATGCCTATTGGCTGAACCGTCGGTTTTCCGCTCGGCCGTGGTATCACTCCGGTCGAACCGGCCCATTCGTACCGAAGCATCGCTCTCCCATACTTGAAAAATTCTGACTTACAGGAGTTGCAGCGGCTTAGGGAGGACTACGCACTTGTCCCATCAAAATAACTGACATTTAGTTTTGCTAGTTTCCCATCACTTCAAATTCAAATTTCTTTATTATCTTAACAATTACAATATCTGTGTAACATTGAGGCAGTCCCAGTAAGTTAATACAATATTTGTGTTGGGACTGACTCGATCCTTTCTTTATTTGTTTAACACTCTTAGAATAATAACCTCGAGATCTGCTAATTAAAGGAAAACAACAAAAATTAAAGTAGATATAGTAAAATAAGAAATAAAAAAGTTACAAATATAAAAAAAGCTATGGTAGAACGGTATGACATAAACACAACATCACTTCGATTACACCAGAAATCTTAAGGTGCGTTGTGTGGGAGAAATAATGCATTTTTTTTTTCAGGGGACGGTCCCCTAGTATCGCCTGATTCGCAAGTACTATTGCACTACGCTGCGTATTATGAAAGATCTGAAGTACCTTTTGATACGTCCCTCACAAGTACATCAGGAAACTCCGCCGCATTACCCCGTGTAAGTACATCATAAGAGTGTCTGTACTGAATCTATCTTTATTTGCTTATCTCCCTTCTAATCAGTTTATTTATTATTTCATCAATTAAGTAGTTTCCTGGGTAAAAAATAAATAATTTTGATTTTTCAGTCCAATTAAATATTTCAATATAATAGTTACACTTTCTAAATTATTATGTTTTCGGCTTATTCACGTAATTTGACGAGGAACTCGACTAGTTTCAAGCCATGCTAGAAGCTCATATTCATGAGCAGCATTTCGCGACCCGCGACGCGGCGCGCGAATTGTTTTAGTATGTCTCACGAAAATACAGTTACACTTTCGTTCATTGATTTGCCGATATACTTAATTTTCGATTTATTCTAGCATTTTTGTTAGATCAATACATAGTATAAAACAAAGTCGCTTTCGCTGTATGTCCGTATGTATGCTTAGATCTTTAAAACTACGCAACGGATTTTGATGCGGTTTTTTTTAATAGATACAGTGATTCTTAAGGAAGGTTTGTATGTATATACATATTGCACCCGTGCGAAGCCGGGTCGGGTCGCTAGCAGTGATGTGACTTATCTTAGATAAAAGTATCTGAAATACAGATACAAGATACAAAATACGTATTTATATCTTGTATTTGAAATACTTTTTAATTTTTATATTTTGTATCTTATATTTAGATACATTTTCCAGGTATCTTAGTATTTTGAAGATACTTTGTTCACTAAGATACTTTTACTAAAATAAACTTCGCAGTTTTTCTTTCCGAACGCAACTGAACGCAGCGCGTCGTTTATTTCGATACCATATTTTTACGGATCGGAAACTAAATGACAGATGCGACACTATCTTTTTACAAATGTCATCGGTTAAGTAAGTAAGATCGTCAATGCCAAAATTAAAATTTAAACAAATAATACAAAAAAAAAAAGATTGTCAATGAGTGTGATCTGTCACTAGTGTCACTGTCACTCCTTCCGTAAGTTTTTCGCTGAGGTTTTTCGTGTGTACGTGGACGTGGTGTATGGTGTTTGAAATAAAATATTGTAATTAATAAATAACAATATCGCCTTTGCGAGATTCGGGATCGCGAACTTACCTTGTCTTACTTATTTTGTCTTGTCACATTTGCCTGATCCTTGATATCAACGCGGTCTATCCGAGAACTGTTTTCAAATAAAACGAATAAACTTACATTCAATTAAAATTTATTAAATGCTGTTTTCTTACAAAAGTATTTTATCTTTAAAAAGTATTTTAAAGATAGGTATTTTGTATCTAGTATTTCAGATACCTTTTTAGAAAAGTATTTGTATCTGGTATCTGAAATCCTTTTTTTAAAAGTATCTTGCATCTAGTATTTCAGATACTTTGTTTAAGGTATCTTATACATCACTGGTCGCTAGTATACTATAAATGTGCTATTTGACGCGAAAATATGATGACGTCATAAGATGGTGTTTCGTACAAAATTAATAGAACCCTATGGTTTTCTGGTTTTTGACGTTTCGATAAAAGTATTGAATTTGACTAGTTGTCAACTACCGTATTGACTAATATAATAATAAAAAGTAAGATTAAATATTTAAAACTTAATTTATACTAAATCGGGTACTTTCTTTAGTCAAAAATAATTCTTTCGACTGTTCAATACAATAAGATATTAAAAAATAATCACACTTTCATTCATTGATTTTGTAATTAATAACCAAGTTAATTTTAATATTTTTCCAGCTAATTATTCACGAAATAATTATGCTGTTTGACGCTAAAAAATCATGACGTCACAATACACAATCTCGTACAAAATTCGTAGAAAACTGTCGTTTTTGACAGTTCGAAAAAAGTATTCAATTTGACTAGTTGGCGAGTACACAATTATGCTAAAATATTCACCAATTATTTTGACAGATCAATGACAAGCTCTGATTGAAGTCACGTGACTTGATTATGTCTTACTCGGTATCGAACCTTGAACTTTTTACACACACGCTTATATAACGTAAACATATTGGATTGAGTAGTTTAATTTGACTCAGTCGGCAAGTACCCAAGTAAGTTTGCTAAATGCTAAACATTAATTTTTAATAATTATTTTCAGCGATACCGAATGGGAGTAGGGGAAATCTTAACTGGTTTGGAAGTCGGTATCCTCAACGTAAAGGGTCCGAAGGCGAGATTCCACCTACTTTTACAACCAGATGTAACGTGGGGTAACTTGGGCGTGCTGCCTCGTATACAGCCGAAGCCAGTACTCTTTGTTGTATGCCTATATGATGTTAGACTCGAGGCGGCTGCTGCTAGGTGAGTAAATGAATAATTTAATGTTGATTTTCTTAAAAGAATCGTAGAAATTGGTGTTCCATAGTCTCTGTCTACCCCCGTGGGAGACAAGTCAAAAAAGCCAAAAGTCAAAGCCAAAATCATTTATTTCAATTAGACCAGGAAAGCACTTTTGAACGTCAAAACAGAACTAAACATAACATCACGCCTTTTTATCCCCGAAGGGGTAGGCAGAGGTGCACATTTCGGCACTTAATGCCACTGTACAATGTAACACCCACTTTTCACTATTTATGTTATGTAATTTGGGTGAGCCTATTGCCATATATCGGGCATATTTCAAGACTCCGTGCTACTACTGAGATTTTTAAAGACCCAGCAATACTTTGCCCGACCCGGGAATCTAACCCGAGACCCCTTGCCCGGCAGTCGCATTTGCGACCACTCGGCCAACAAGGCAGTCAAAACAAAATTTTTAAATATTAAATAATAAATGCCAGTTTGTAGGTCAGTCCTCTGGTTGCTCTAAGTGTAGATTCCTAGGGAGAAGAACGAGCAAGAAACTCCATAGGTTACTCTTTTTCAATTATGTTCACAATACAATCGTTAATTTATTCAGTCAAAGCTTTTATTTCATGGTATTTTTGAAACGTCAACAAATACAAAATAAATAATAGTCTGTCAGTCAGTCCCTCAGTGAAGCTAGGTGAAGCTAGGTGCTCATTCCAAAATGTCGATTCGAGTGGAGAAGAACGAGCAAGAAAATCCATTCGTTACTCTTTTAAAAAAGTATGTCCTACAATGTCTCTGATACATATTCCAATATTGTATGTTATACAATAGTGATGTTATGTGTTTATCTATGTGATTTTGTTGCCATTTTTGGTAATCTATATTAATGTTATAAGGCTGAGAAGTCTAATTTGAATGCGCTAATCTCATTAATAGTAGGGGAGCCCATGATGCTAAATTGGGATTTACTTGAGCGTCCTTGGGACTTACTGGATTTTGAAGATATGCTGATAGAAAGAAGAAATGGTTTAGTGACAATTTCTTCCACCAGTGGGGGAAGGGGGAATCTACAGATCTTTGAAATTGTTAAGCGTAACTTTTGTTCTAGTGGTCGAGCGTGTCAGATATTGATAATGTACATGCTCCATGTGTATTTAATAATAAAAAACTCTTAATCTGCCAGTTTGCATGGTGGGGTTGAATGTTCTGGAGAGTACAAACGAGAACCCTTCAAAATCCCCCCACTCTTGCAAATCAAGTTGGAATGGGCAGATTTTTTAAACGCACTTCCTTTAGCACGGTATTGACCTACCTTCCCTTAATCTGACGAAACTGACTTTATTTAGTCAGACTTTTTTTTTAATTTTCAGTCCCCCCCTTCTAATCAGATCGGATATATGTTGGGTATATTCAACATGACACTAGGTTTTCCCCATATGTTAATCTGACGCGCTCGAGTAACTACCGAAATCCCTTCATGGGCTCCCCTACTATAAA